TGAGAAATTTCCATTTTTAAAAAAGTTGATAAAGTGTAGTGAACGCAACTGTATACATTTCACCTAGATAAATTAACAAATTTGCTTTATCTCTTTCTCACACACACACACCATTTTTTTTGCAGAACCATTTAAAAGTAAGCTGCATATATCATAACACTTTTGCCCTAAATACTGAAGTATGTATTGCCTAAGAATAGATATTCTCCTACATAACTATCATTATCATACCCAAGAAATTTAACACTGATAGAATAATTTTTAGTGTGTAATGCGTGGTCACATTTCCTTAAATATTCTTTAGAGCTCTTTTTATTCTAATCCAAGAGCTCATGCAGCATTGCATTTGATAGTCCTGTCTCTTTAGTTGCCTTTACTCTAGACAGTTCCCTGCTTTTTTGGTTCATCTTTCAAGACACTGACGTTTTTTCTTTTTTGAGTCCAGCTTGTTTGTTTTGTAGAATGTTCCATAATTTGGATTTGTCTGATTGTTTCTTTGTGCTTAACTTCAGCTTCACCGTTTTTGTTATGAGGACTACATAGTTGTGTATGCTTCCATTGCGTCACGTCAGATTGTCAGATTGTCCCATTTTTGGTCCTGAGTTCAGTCATTTGATTAACCATTTGATGACTACTAGATCTTCCCATTATAAAGGCACCTTTGTCCCTTTGTAACTAATAATCTGCAGTAATCTATTTAAGGCTGTGATATCTCTTCCAGCAGCCACCTTTCAATAGCATCCACTGATGATCCTTGCCTGGACTGGTCATTGTAATTCATGCTTGCAGAACGGTGATTTTCTAAGCCTGTCCTTCCTTCTTGTCGTTATTAGGTGATGTTTTTCTGTAAAATTTCCTCCCCTGCCCATTTTTCTTGAGTATCACTGTATGGTTTATTATGCTTTAACATCCTTTTTCCTTCTGGTGCTCAGATTATCCCAGAATTGGCAAGTGGAACCCCTTCAGGCTGGTTCCTATGTTCTTTTTTTTTGGGGGGGGAGATTAGCACTGAGCTAACATCTGCCAATCCTCTTTTTGCTGAGGAAGACTGGCCCTGAGCTAACATGCATGCCCATCTTTCTCTACTTTATATGTGGGAAGCCTACCACAGCACGGTTTGCCAAGCAGTGCCATGTCTGCACCCGGAATCCGAACCGGCAAACCCGGGCTGCCGATGTGGAACACGTGCGCTTAACTGCCGCGCCACCGGACCAACCCCTCCTATGTTCTTTTGACATGTCCGCATCAGTCACTGAGCACTTCCTTGACTTCTGGTGAGAATGCTTCAGACTCCTCTTGACCTTTCCTTGCTCCAGACTTGTAATCAGCCATTTCTCCAAGGAGCATGGATTCCTTTTTAGTAGGGAATGGTATTTAGAAACCAAGATCTGGATGCCAAGTTTGCTCCTTGATACTGAGGTGTCATTGCTTCTAGGCCCTTCTTATGGATAGAGCTAGGACATGTATCAGTGTTTTTAATAAAATTGGAATGTGTCTGTGTTTCAGAGACTGTAGAAACTTTATAGGTAGTAGTTTATGCTGGGAAACTATGGTATGGTATTTATAAACAATTTCAGAGACTAGAGTTATGTCAACTTTTTGCAGTCTTCCTTTTCTGTAACCCTCCAGAAAGTTAGAGTTTTGTGTGCTAACAGTATGCAGAATTCATTAACTGCTACCCATCTCTGAAAGACAGGCCGAGGTAAGTGAGCACAGAAAGAAAAAGTTGGATTCATTGGTTTATTTAGTAAGCTTTTATTCCATAATTCAAAAAATGTGTATTGAATGGCAGCTTTGTTTTAGACATTGGATAAGGTCCTTATTCTCCTGTGGATACAAAGAAAAGTAGGACTTGGTCTCGGCCCTGTGGCTGAGTGATGCCTGTGGTGGCAGGTGGCAGAGGAGAAGGGGACGTGGAGGGAAAAAGGTCGATGCTTACTCACCACTGTTAGACCAACAGAGCTTTAGAGAAGAACATATGATTCCCTGTTAGTTGCTCGTTAGCCTGGATACCGTAAACGCCAAGTGGTTGGGGCCTCCCAAGGTGACGGTGAACGTCTGTGCAAATGGGAGTCTGCGTGGGCGGATCACTTTACAGGGAATGGAAAGTTTTCACTCTGTTCTAAATTCAAGGCTAGGCTGTGCGGGTAATGCCTTAAGCTGACAACTCTATTTCAAGAATTAAAAGGACGTTGTGGGTATTTTGAAAATGACCTAATAGGTACTTAAATGGGAGAGACCCTAGCTGAGATTGTTTCCTGTTGAGTGCTTACTCTACCCTTTGTGTGACTTAAAAAAAACTGTTTTGTTTGAAGCCCTTGTATTCTCACTGTCTTGGCGCTTCATACTGCTGGAATGTACAAAGCCAGTTTTTTTTTTTAATGTAGTACAATTTAAAAGTCAGTTTCGATGTTTTCCGGTGTCAGTGTGTAGAGCAAACGATAGTCAGCCTTTTTTGTCTAAAATTGTTCACTTGTGCAGTATTTAATGCTAACAAATTTTAGGGCCTCCCTGAGACTTATCTGTGGTATGATCTGAGCAGTTAAATAAACTTCTTAAGTGTTTATTATAAAATGCATTGAGACAAATATTGTGTGGTTTAGCAAGATTATAGCAGTAATTGGATTCAGAGTATATTTGAGGGGAGTAGATAAACATGAAAAGTATATTTTCAACTCCCAAGTAAAAACGTTTAAAAGCAAATAGAATTGTTCCACATGTGGGCTTTGCCTCCCTTCCAGACCATCCTGTGCATTACTCTAAGAGGAATTTTCTGAAAACGTGACTCCAGTCACAGGGCGGAGTTCCCTTCGTCCCCATCCGCCTGCTGAATAGGTCAGCTCCAGGAGGGCAGGGCCTTCTGTTGGTCTTGGTTCTCCACGCCCTTGGGGCCTGGCTACATGGTCGGTGCTCAGCAGGGACATGCCTTGTCACAGTGCCACTGCAGGCTGCCATTTCCCTGCCCTACAGTAAGCTGTGGGTCCCTGCTCGCACCCCGAGGTTTCCTCACAGTCACAGTCCTGGGTTCTCTTTCCCGGAAGTCCTCTCCCCTCATCACTGACTACAAACAGATTTCCCCACTCCTTGAGGCCTCGGGTGAATGCCTGCTTTCCCATGAAGCCTTCCCAAACCGCCCTGCCTCCAAGCTGAGTGTGTTCTCTCTCTCCTTAAGCCTGTATAGTAGGACACTCTCGCGTATTTCCCTGACTTTCCTTCCTGAACTGTCTGATTCATCTTCCCCTTCCTCCTTCCCTCCCATATTGCCTTGCCCGGTACCTTATAAATATATAGATAGCAGGAGCACAGCATAAATCTTTCAGATTAATGTAACCTTGTAATGTGATGGCGAGAGAGTGAGATACATACCAGAAAACTGAGAATGACTTGGAATGGAATGGAATGGAATGGTAGTGAGAATCCTGAGTGGAGGAATTAGTATGTTGTTCTGGTGCCTTCTGGGCTCTTCCATGGCAGCTCTTGTGGTTTGAGTATTACTTATCTTCAGATGGTCAGACCTTTCAAGGGGAACATCAGGAAACTTCTCCAGGAAAGGCAGGGTTTCTTAGTGTGATGGTACTCTGAAACTGCTTGCACCTCGTTAGAGGTTAAATCAGAGCAGTCTGGGCCATTTTCACTGATCTTTTTAACACCATAAATTTTTGCCTTGAATGTATGTTTGGTTATGATTAATTTAAGAGGGGAAGTCGGAGTTCCCGTCCCCCCATCTTTAGTACACCCTAGTAGAGGAGTGGTGTCTGTCAGTCCAGCATGGGCATCGTCTCCTTACACCGAGGGCGGAACTTGGAAGCATGCCCTGGGCTTCCTTCTTCAGGTTCTTTCTTCCAGCCCAGACACTTGTCGTGCTGTGTCCTGGGGTTTCCTCCTCACATGCACCTGTGAGCCATCAGATCACATAGGTTTGAATGCGAATCCAGAAATTAGTTCAGTAATCTTCACAGTTGCTGCAGAGTAAACCAGATCTAGTGCCCAAATGCATTTTCTAAAAGTTTGATGAATTCTCTAGCAAGTCCTTTTTTAAGTTTTTTATTTTAAGATAATTGTAGATTCACAATATGTTAATAAAATGTTATTCACAAGGAATAATACGGAGCGTTCCCATGTGCTCTTTATCCGTTTTCCCCTGATGGTAGCGTCTTGGGAAAGTATGGCACCTCATCACAACCAGGATATCGACATTGATGCTGTCAAGATATTGAACAGTTCTCTAGTGTCTCTCTTGTTGCCCTGTTATAGCCACCCCTACTTTCCTCCTGCCCCACCCCTTCCTTAACCCGTGGTAACCGCTAATCTGTTCACCATTTCTATAATTTTGTCATTTCAAGAATGTTACAAAAATATTTGTCTGTGATCCATTTTGGGTTAATTTTTATATGAAGTGTGGGGTTTTGGTCGTGGTCCATTTTTTACCCATGGACGAGCAGTTTCTTCAGTAATATTTGTTGAAGAAGCTATTCTTCCTCCATTGAATTGCTTTTGCGTCTTTGTCAAAAATCAATTGTGCATCTTTGCGTGGGTCAATTTATGGCTCTCTGCTCTGTCCATGGATCTGTGTCTCTCCTTCTCCCGCACAGTGTTGATTGCTGTAGCTGTAAAGTAACCCTCACTACTGGATAGAGTGACTCCTCCCGCTTCACTCTTCTTTTTCGAAGTTGTGTTAGCTATTTTAGTTCTTTTGCCTTTCCATATAAATTTTCAAATAACCTTGTTTATAGATACAAAAAAATTTTGCTTGGATTTTGATATTATGTTAAACCTCTATATCCATATAGAGAGAATTGACATCTTTACTATGTTGGGTCTTCCAATCCATGAACATTGAATTTCTTTTTCAATGAAAGCTTACGCTATAAAGACAGAGATAGCCGTGATGTAACATGTTGACATGTCTTAAGAGATAATTCTGTTCTGGGGGATTATCAATGGCAAACTGTTCAGGTTGCATCTTTGTTCAATTCCTCTTTCTAAAAATTGGTTCACAGGCCTATGAAAGGAGGTTCCCTACGTGTCCTTTGATTCCAATGTTTGTGGACAGTGACACTGTGAGTGAATTTAAGAGTGAAGATGGGGCTATTCATGTCATAGAAAGGCGCTGCAAACTGGATATAGATGCACCTAGACTGTTGAAAAAGGTAACTGGAAAGCACATTTTGGAGGCAGTCCCCAAAACCAAAGTGAATTGATTCTTGCAGCTTCTGTTGCCATTGGGTGTTATTAATCAACGCTTTTTCTCTTTATTTCTTTTTTAAAGATTGCAGGAGTTGATTATGTTTACTTTGTCCAGAAAAACTCACTGAATTACCGAGAACGTACTTTGCACATTGAGGCCCACAATGAAACGTTTTCTAATCGAGTCATCATTAACGAGCATTGCTGCTACACCGTGAGTAATCCAGCAGGCCGCGGGAGGCCCTTGAGCATGCGCACGTACAGCTTCCAAGAATTGTTTGGCCATCTGTTTAAACAGTGCATTTCTTTGCCTTAGAGGGCAGTTCTTCCTCAAATATTGTCGTTTGTTTCCGATTAGTGGGATCCGTAGGGTAGTAGATGTGGTTTACTGCAGAACGGATTGCATTGTTGGAGCCGTCACGGTAGCCAAGTGATGCCTTGATTTATTTGTTAACATTACTTTAATATGCTGCATGTTTTCTGGCCCCACTCTAACACATTAGAGATATATATTGAAGGACCCAAGATACTGTGTACATCTAAGATGAGAGCCGAGTATATCTTTCTGCCCCACCATCCTCACTGCTTACCACCCTGTTTCAGGACTTCTCCTACCAGATTGTTAGAATAACCTAATAGACTCGGCTTCTACCTTTCCCCTCCTACAGTATATCCTCGACACTGAATCCACAGTGATCCATTTAAATGTGTCAGACCATGTCATACTTTTTCTGGGCTCAAAACCCTGCCGTGTCTCTGCCTTTCACTCGAAGGGAAAGCCCAGAAGCCTTACAATGGCTTACAGGGCCCTGTGTTGCCTCTTAATCACGCCTCAGCTGTCCTGCTTCCTTGTGCACAAGCCGCCCACCTTCTTGCTGTTCGTGCATCTCGCGGCCAGGCTTCCGCTGAGGCCCTTTGCTCTAGGGGCTCCCTCGGCCAGGATCACGTTGTCACCAGGTCTCAGCTTGACTCCCGCCCTCACCTCCTTCAGGCTTTGCTCAGGTCTCCCTTTCTTCATGAAGCCAGCCCAGAACACCCTGCTTCATTCTGCAGCCTGCCCTCTAATTCTTTGAATTGTTCTCTAGCTTTTCTTTTTTCCGTAGCACTTAGCTTCTGACAACGATATAATTTATTACTTGTTATGTTTATGGCTAATTGTCTATCTCTCCTTGCTAGACTATAAGCTTCACAAGGCAGGGATCTTTGTTTTATTCATGGTGGAGAATACTGCTCAGTAAATATGGTGAATGAATGAATGAACCAAGAATGAAAAGGGAGCTCTCCTTTTAATAGTCATTTTTGGAATATTTTAGAAATATTACTTGGTTCTTCATGATTTTGAACCTGTGTAATTTTTCCATCTGGTGTTTTCATGGTAATAACATTATTAGTAAAGTAAGTGTTTTTTCTGGTTACCAGTTGATTGAGGAGCAGACAAATGATATTCTCCAGTGTCAGTATAGTTAAAGGAATGCTTTCTCATTCATCTGCAGGTTCACCCGGAAAATGAAGATTGGACCTGTTTTGAACAGTCTGCAAGTTTAGATATTAAATCTTTCTTTGGTTTTGAAAGTACAGTGGAAAAAATTGCTATGAAGCAGTATACCAGCAACATTAAAAAAGTGAGTCTACCTTGGAATTTTATGGAAAAGGGTGGGCAGGAGTTTCAGATGACCTGAGCTGGCAGTCTTTTCAGAAGGCTGAGAATGGGTTCTTCAGGGCTCCCAGTCATTTCTTGAAGAGGAATAAGACTTTTCCCCGTGACTTACATCCCAGGGAGTGGAAAGGATAGGTGGGGATTCAGGCAGTGCTGGTTGCCAGGGGAGGTCGGGAGGAGTGTGTAGCCTCTGGCTGTGGCCTTCTCTGCTTGGCAGTGCTGGGAAAGGTCAAAGTTGCAGGGAGGCAGGAGCAGGGGGCTTACAGCACCCCCGGGTGCCAGCTCAGGGTCTGCTGGTGGGAGGCAGTGCGGTGCTGGAGAAGTGCCGGCCAGTTCATCTCTCAGGGCTCCCCAGCCCTTGGGTGGTTAGCTTCATCATCCATGGAAACTTACTTTCTCGTGTTTATGCTGCTACTCATTGTTGTGGAATTTTGGTTTTGAAATGTATCAGTATGGCATTATGGAGTGCTTTTTTTGAAGGCTTGTTTTAAATGGTATTGGAAAGAATTTGGATTGAGGCACAAAGCACATACTGAGTACAGGTGTGGTAAATCAGTGCTTTTAATTAGTCGTGTAAAAAGTTCCTTCTCTTTAGATGTATTTCCTAGACCTCTGGAGAAGAAGAAGTAGAATAATTATGTAAAACAAAAACAAAGGCTTTTGGGTTTTCTTTTTCCTATTTATTCCATAGCAATTCAGTTTTTATTAGTGTTTTAAAAACCCATGAAGCATGAATAGTTTGAATGTTGAGTATATACTAACCTTGAAACTGGTTTTGTTTTAAAGGGAAAGGAAATAATTGAATACTATCTTCGTCAGTTGGAAGAAGAAGGCGTAACATTTGTGCCCCGTTGGACACCACCTTCCATTGCTCCCTCTTCAGAGACATCTGCATCGTGCAAGAAACAAGCAGCGGCGTCAGCTGTCGTCCCAGACGCTGCTCTAAAGGAAGGGCTGAGCAGTGAGGCCCCCGGTCACCCGAGTGGGGTGCCTGAGCCCGCGGCGGGCACCCCTGATGGTGGGTCTGAGAGCAAGACCAGTGGGTTACGTGGAGTCGTTTCCACTCTGCTTACTCTACTGTCCTTGTTTCCTGAGGATGTTTAGATGTTAAGTAAAAAAAACGGGTCTCATTACTGTCCCTTTTCCTCTAGTTTATTTACCACACTCATTTTATCTTTTTTCTTAGAATGAAGAAACTTAGAATTTTCTTTTTTAATGGGCAGGATGAGTTACATCCAGTTATGCCTTTACTTAGATGAGGAAATATTTTTCATTTATTTTAGTTGACGTCTTTAGTGAATGTAAATTAGCAGCTAGTCCTTTTAACAATTATGTTGTCATCACTTTCGCTGCTTACTGTGTGCCAAGCACTTGATGAATATTGGGTCACTTAATAGTGGTTCCTTTTAGGTAGAACGTGGTGATTATTCTCATTTTATACATGAGTTAACATGAGAAATTGAGTAACTTGCATAGATAGAGTCATATAGCTAGTAGGTGGCAGGGCTGGGATTAAGCCCGTACCGCTGGCTCCAGTTTCTGCTTACAGCCACTGTGCTTTGCTGCCTTTCATGTGTGTTACACACACACACACACAACTTTGTTATTTCTAAGAGTATTGCCCATTGTACCAAGTTCAGACGGCAGAAAAATAAGAAAACACAGAGAATTCTACCAGTCAGAAGTTTTGTTAAACCATCAGTATTTATCTTCCCATACATTCTTCTCTGCGGCTGAACTATGCCATTTGTTAGCTTTCAAGAGGTGGCAGATGGCAGATATTTTAATTGGACTGAGGATGCGTTTTATTTTTCACATCATGAATTTTTCTTTGCTGTACTTAATTTATCACATTCTTCCAGTTTATGTTACCGTGTCTTGAAAAAGATTTGTTATATTCTTGAACACGGTGGCTCTGTTCGTAATAAGGTTAGATCCACTTGTTTGTTTTATTTCATGGTTTTAGATCATGTAAGGCCTCTTTATGTACCTTTGAATTAAAAGTCATTCAGTATCTGTTACTATTGTGACTACTATTGAGATTTGCAGCTGGAAGTGGCCCGATGGTAATCGGGGAGAGGTCGTTGAAGCAGCAGGTTTACTGTGGCCTGGTCACTGGTTTGATTTTAGAGACTGGCGCTGAGCTTCTCCCTGGCGGCTGGTTTGAATCTGCCGTCCCTGCGGTTTCATTTGCCTCTGAGACTCCAGGGCCACACATGAGCTGCGCCGGGCAGGACTGCGGAATGCTTCAAGTTCCAGTGTTCTTGGTTGTAAACGGTTTCACGTGACTTATGTTCCAGACAAACTGGATGCGGACTACATTAAGAGATACCTGGGTGACTTGACCCCGCTGCAGGAGAGCTGCCTGATCCGGCTCCGCCAGTGGCTCCAGGAAACCCACAAGGGGAAGGTGAGAGTTGGCGCCTCGCGTGTATGGACGCTGTCTGGGAAACCCTGCGCCCCTGACTCCGGCCGTAGTTACTGAGAGTCAGTGCTCCCAGCAGCCGTAGCTGGGAGTGTGAAGTCCTTGACTCTGTGTCATTGTGTGGCATGCGAGTCCCCTGTGGCCTTTCTCTGTGTAATTAGCTGTATTTTTCTGGGTTTTACAGAGAATAGTCTCAGTTAAAACAATTACATGTCAATTTACACAGCAACAGTATGTTCCAAGTATTCATCCATTGTAATTTTCAGAAGATTTGGAAAGAGTTCACAGATACGTAGAGATTAGAAATGTTTGAGCTTTGATTCTGAGGTTTTTGGTAAATTTTAGCATCATAAAGAATTAGATTTTTGTAATAAGCCTCATCCTAATGGGGGACTGAAAGCGAGCAGAGGCAGATTTCTGTGTCTAGCTTGTTACTGGTATTACTGAGTAAAGGGAAGCTGGGCCTTGCCTGTTGTTGGCCTGCTGTCTCCTTGTGTCGCTGTTAGTTACTACAGCGCAAATGTCCAAGGACTGTTAGTATCAATTATTGAGAAAACAGCCACTGTAATAATAGTTATCATTTCTTGTGCACTTGCCATGTACTAGACATTGTTTCAAGCTCTTTATTAAATGCTCCCAACAGCCCAGTGAGGTGGGTGCTATTTTTGTTACCGCTGTGGTACACATGAGTAAACTGAGGCATGGAAAAGTTGAGTAACATGCCCAAGGTCTTATACCTGGTGAGTGATGGGGCCGTTTGGTTCCAGAACCCACTTTCTTAACCACTTCTGTATAACGGAGTCCTTTCTGAGTGAGGATGATGCCTGCTCGGTGCTCGAGTTATTTCTGCAGGAGTGGGGTAGTGAGCTGGTTCCATCTGCCACTCTCTCCTCATCTTCCGTGGCCCAGCGGCATGTGTTAGTGAGCCTGTGGCCGTGAGGAAGACAGCTGGTCCAGATGGGACTTAGACATGGTCTTGGCCTTGTTTTTACTCGGGGAAGCCGACCTGTGGATTCGGAGATCCAGATCCTGCTGATAGCGAGATCTGGAGACAGTTGCTGACTGTTAGCAACATCACCACTGCCACCAAACCAACTGCACTTCTCCGCATTCTCTTTATTTAAGTGTAACGTGTACAGAAAAGTGCGTATCATAAAAACTCATAGAGCAGCGCAGTGAATTGGAGCATTTGGTGTTGAAGAAATTATGCCTTCACTCTATTGAAACTAAAAGGGAATACTCTAAGGATTATTTAGATTAATACTGATTTTCTAAAGCGTTAAGGGAGGTTTTCCTGGTAACGGCTAGTTTTAAGTTGTATAATGCAACTCACTCTTGACAAGAAGTTATAGTCTTACTTGCTTAGTAACTTGCTTTTTTCCCTTAGCAACTTTTAGCATTGCTTAGAAACATCTCTTTCTCTTAATAGATCCCGAAAGATGAGCATATTCTTCGGTTCTTGCGTGCCCGGGACTTCAACATCGACAAAGCCAGAGAGGTCATGTGTCAGTCTTTGACTTGGCGGAAGCAGCACCAGGTGGACTACATTCTGGACACCTGGAACCCTCCGCAGGTCCTTCAGGACTACTATGCAGGTGGCTGGCACCATCACGACAAAGGTACCGTGTGAACGTGGCATTCGAGACAAGCTTAGAGACCTCCTTCTTCAGAATTAAGTGGGGTTCCGTGAGGGCATTGTCCTTCCCATCTCCTAGCTTGAACAAATTGACCTGTGCCTTGTCTCGTCACCCCCCCAGTGCCACACTCCACACCCCCCCGGGAAGTGCCCTGCAGAGCAGACTGTGCTTGCTTCTTCCTCACAGCACACGCTGCCCTCGGGCAGGTTACTTCACCTCTTTCTTATTAGATGGAGCTTGTTTTGACTTACTTAAGAAATGAAACTTTGAAGGCAGAGTTTTTTCAGTCGCACAGTGCTGGTCGAGGAACTGTGTAGTGACTTGAACCCCGACGTGTCTGTAAAGACATGTAGCCAGGTTTTCTACATCAAACGGTGAAGAGCTTCAGCTCTTTTTGGGAAGGAAGCCAAACCTAAGTGAGGAACAGCGATGGACTGGGAGCACAAAACCCTTTTTGCTTTAAGTAGAACAGGTCTAGATCCAGATTCTCCTAGGAGGTCAGGTTCAGCAGGTGATAAACGCAAGGTGACTGTTGGGCCCCTGTGTCACGATGACAGCACTGACCCTCCGTGAAGAGCAGAAGACAAGTCTTAGCCCATGGGAGCATAATCGTGCCTTTCCTCTCTGCTCCGAGTGGCAGGAGTCTCGGAGCTGTGACTCTAGGGGTACACTCTGGCCACCTAGATCTTTTTCTCTAAGTGTAGCTGGCCCGTGATGACGGAGTTTATATAGTGCGTTAGGTTCCTCTCAGGCTCCATCCATTCGACCTCTGGGCTGTCAAGAAGTAGGCCAACATATGCTGGCTGGTATGGATGTAAAGATTTCCAGAAAATCCTCATTTATCTTGATCCTTAGCGTGGGAATTAAGGGAAGCTGGCTTTGAAAAAATCTTGGCATTAACTTCTTGGAAACCTATGAAATGAAAAAAAAGTTTTTTCCCCTAAAAAATGAAATTTTAAAAGTACTTTGTATTCATAGAAAAAGTGTCTGTGGGTGTCCTCATGCTCCCCTGCTGTGGAAAGTCAGAGCTCTGCTCAGCCTTGTGCTTATTTCATTGAGGAGGCTCAGCCCAGCACTGCCCGCAGCCGGTGCAGGCTAGAGCCGGCAGAGATTCCCCTTGGCCCCGGCAGAGTTGGCTCAACGCCCCTGCTGAGCTGCTCCATCCGCTGGCTCTTATGTTTTTCTTTTACAATATTGGGCAGAAAAATGTTGCACCTTCACCCACTCCACAGAAACCAGCTGCTGCTTGTTAGAAGGAAAGAGCTTGGGGCCGGCCCCGTGGCCTAGCAGTTAAGTTCAGTGCACTCCACTTTGGTGGCTCAGGTTTGGTTCCTGGGTGTGGACCTGCACCACTTGATGGCAGCCATGCTGTGGCAGCGACCCACATGCAAAATAGAGGAAGGTTGGCACAGATGTTCACTCAGGGCCAATCTTCCTCAGCAAAAAAAAAAAGGAACAAGCTTGAAGCTCATGTGGAATGTGGGAGCACACGTTTCCCTGGTAAGGTTCTGAGTCATGACTTTGTCAGAACTGTGCTGCTAACCCTTTCCCTCGCCTCCTGCAGATGGCCGGCCCCTCTATGTGCTCAGGCTGGGGCAGATGGACACCAAGGGCTTGGTGAGAGCCCTCGGGGAGGAGGCCCTGCTCAGATATGTAAGTGTTCCCTTTCGGCTTTGCGGTTTCTTTCTCTGCCAACGGGATTGGGATATTACAGCTGTCCTGTCATAACAAGCACTTATTGCCTTTGTAACTAGAAAGGAAAATCTATAAATATGTTTTACAAATTTTGAAAGAGTACATAAAAGTTATAAAAAGGTTTCTCACAGGGGAAGCATCGACAAAAAATCCGTGTCCCGTCAAGATGACTACTTGGGAGCTCATGCTGAGTCATCTTTCCCCTTGCTCCCGCACTGAGGTGGTCCCTGCCCTCCTCCCCACTCCTCCTCAGGCGCTTCTCCGATCAGGCCCCCCAGGGGCGCTCTTTCTGCGCACCCCCTCCACGCAGCCTCTCAGCGTCTTTCACCTGCTCTGTCACAAGTGCTCCTTCCCTGTCTCCCTGGCCCCAGGCACTCTGCTTCCACTGCAGCTGCCACAGTGGGGCAGGTAGGAAGAGAAGACTATCATCCTTAAATTAAAAACAAAGACTTTAAAAGGCACATCTGTGTCCCATTATCCTAAAATAGCCCCTTTGGCAGTTTGTTGGGTATTGTTAGCCCCTGCTATGTGTTCATACGTGCACACATACATCTCCACACGTGTGCACACTTGCACAGAAAGATGTGGATGGACCGCTTCTGTAGGGAAGGGTTTGTTAATCCAAATCAAAGGGTTCCCTTTGGCCGTCCTCCAAGTGTCCTAAGACTGCCCTTTTTCCTGGCTGGTACATGTAGCATGAAATTGTTCCCCAAGCCAACTGTCACTTACCTCTGACTATGCCAGGTGCACTCCTTCTGAAGACAGGTGAGCGGGCCATCCCGTCCCTGCCCGTCTGGGGCCTCCTCGTAACTGATGGCACTCAAGGTGGCTGTCACCTTTGCCGCACAGATCAGTGCTTATTCTCTTTGAGAGTGAGATCTTCTTCGTCGGTGGTCTGCTTGTGTGCATGAATGTGTCAGAAAGTTTACATGCTTACCTAAAATATGCTGTATCATTGTCACCTGCTTTCATAGCTTGATACGGTAGTGTTACCTTCTTCGGATAATCATGGGGTTTTTATGGCCCTTTTGTCCATAGGTTCTCTCCATCAATGAAGAAGGGCTAAGACGATGTGAAGAAAATACAAAAGTCTTTGGTCGGCCTATCAGGTAGATTTGCGACTTTGTTTTTCCTTCAGTTTATTGAGAATATGAGTTAAATATTTCTAGTTGATTTTCAGAACCAAAATCTCATTTGAGTTTTAGATTTTTAGGACCAAATCTAAATAGTTTACTATTTTCCATGGTCTAAAAGGTAGAAGGTAAACATCGTCTGTGGTCAGTTGTGAGGGACAGTTGCCCGGTGTTGGCATTCCCAGCCTGTGGCCTTGCTGTCCCCTCTTAGTCTGCAGGGGCTTTGGGAGCCCAGGGTCGCAGACTTTTTGGGGGCAGGGCATGGTGCAAAAAACTATTCTGTGTTCCTAAACCACACTCTAGTTGTGGTGAACTGTTGACAACGTGCAGTGCTTCAGAGGTTGCGCTGAGACGGGTGTGGACGGTTAACTGGCGCGAAAGTTCCCTGAGGGCAGGGACTTGAGCTGTTCTCACTGCTGTGCTCACAGCTCCTGAGGCGGCACTTGACTCAGATATTCATTGAGGAGTAGCCTGTTCTGGTTCAGTTACACTGCATATTAAACTGCCCGCTCCGAGCCCTGTTGGGTCAGTAGAGGTGGCTCAGCATGTCAGGGACAGCATGTCACCTTATCTGCTGGTCACTGAGTTTGTCAGACTGAGGTTTTTATTCGCTGTTGATTGGCCATTGATTGCTTTAACATTCCAGGCATTGGTCCTGCCACACTGACCCCCTGTGCTTTATAGACGTAGATAGAAGTATAGTTCGAAACACTGTAATTTGAAAAACCGGTATATCTTTGGAAATGGATATAAATGACTGTTTTATAATATCAGAAAGAAAAAAAGTAGCTGTAGGACACAGTTTGCCAACTCTGCTGTCCATTGAATAATCACACTCGGGTCTGCGCCCCCCACAGTTCGTGGACCTGCCTGGTGGACCTGGAGGGGCTGAACATGCGCCACCTGTGGAGGCCCGGCGTCAAAGCCCTGCTGCGCATCATCGAGGTGGTGGAGGCCAACTACCCCGAGACTCTGGGCCGTCTCCTCATCCTTCGGGCTCCCCGGGTGTTTCCTGTCCTCTGGACGCTGGTGGGTTCAGATGCTGTTTCGCAGTAACTGGTAGCCATTTGGAAGGCAGACATGCATGCATTCATAAACATGTGTTTATGACTTTAAGTCTTAGGAAAAAACAAAATAAACATGGAAAGATAGAAAATTTCTCAGACCATTTAAGGGAAGAAAGAATTCCTGAGTGTCTTAATGTCATGCAGATGGACTTTACAGAACAAGTGTGTCAAACTCAATTCCCTTCCCCCCACCCCTACCCACCCACTCATAATATCGCATTGTCATTTTAGTCTTTGAAAATCAGACAGCAAAGCTAATATGACTACATGGTCTTTTCTGATTCCTTCCAGGTTAGTCCATTCATTGATGACAACACCAGAAGGAAATTCCTGATTTATGCAGGAAATGACTACCAGGGTCCTGGAGGCCTGCTGGATTACATTGATAGAGAGGTTATTCCAGACTTCCTGGGTGGAGAGTGCATGGTATGTGTTTAGGCAAGTTGCTTGCTGCACATTTGGCAGCCTAAAGGCTGGGAAAGGTGGATGCCGGTTTGCGTGAATGATTCTCAGAACTTTTAGTATGGAGTATTTGTTTTTCTTTTTTTGGGTGGCATCTCTCTGATCCAGGGTGAAACTAAATAGAACCATTTAGATAATTTTTGATAACATGTACATTTCTTTTCTTTTTTTTTTAAGATGGGCTCTGAGCTAACATCTGTTGCCGGTTTTTTTCTTTTCTTTTCTTTTCTTTTCTTCTTCTCCCCAAAGCCCCCCAGTACGTAGTTGTATATTCTAGTCGTAGGTACTTTCTAGCTCTGCTACACGGGACACCGCCCCAGCATGACTTGGTGAGGGTGCTAGATCCACGCCCAGGATCCGAATCTGCGAAACCCTGGGCCACTGAAGCAGAGCGCGCGACCTTTAACCCCTTGGCCACGGGGCCAGCCCCAATGTGCACATTTCTTCATTGTTAAATACTACCGAGAGTTTGCCTCAGAATCTAATATAATTTCAGCCAGCTTTGTTCACTCAGCTTTGTGTGGATCAGATTTTTTAACTGTTGTAGAGGAGCTGTGCATTTTTTTAAAACACTATTAAAAAAATCAAATTGATTCTTGGGGCTGGCCCCATGGCCGAGTGGTTAAGTTCGCGCACTCTGCTGTAGGCAGCCCAGTGTTTCATTGGTTCGAATCCTGGGCGGCGGACATGGCACTGCTCATCAAACCATGCTGAGGCAGCATCCCACATGCCACAACTAGAAGGACCCACAACGAAGAATATACAACTACGTGCCAGGGGGCCTTGGGGAGAAAAAGGAAAAAAATAAAATCTTAACAAAGAAAATCAAGTTGATTCTTAAAAAGACCTCCCCCCCCGACAATAAATCAGGATAACATTTTAATGAGGATAAATTAAGGGAACTGGTTCTCCTTCTGTAATTTAGGGTTTTTAATACCTTGAGTTGCTGGCTTATCAGGCCAACGCCTCCACTTCTACCCCTGGTACTGATGGTGAGGGGTTCAGAGGAGTTTAGCTCCTTGAGGGCCTTACAGCCTCCAGAACATGACTGCCTGCCGTGAGGGTGAAGGAAGCCGAGGCCTGGAGAGGCCCAAGAGACTGCTGCAGTGACAGCTGAAGGCAGCATGGCGGCATGCGATCACATGGCTGGGTCCTGCCTGAGAGAGGGTCTCTGTCACCCTTCATGGTAGATGAAGTTATCCTTTAGAGATGTGTACGCACTGGATGTGACTCCTGTATTGAGCTAATGAATTGGGCTCTCAGGAATCTTCTGGATGGGTAGAGGAATTTAAACAGCATTTGAATTCAGCTCTCAGTTCGTCGGTCCTGCTGTGAGGAGTTGCGGGCGTAATCACAGTGCAGTGCAAGGAGCAAGTAAATTACAGGACCCTAACTTACCAAGTGCCGGTGAGATTAAACCGTGAGGGGAGGTTGGAGAAACCCACAGTGACTTGTGTTATATGAGGGAATGCTCCCATGTGGTTGCTCCTCCTACTTACGACCCGAAAAGCTGAGCTGGAGCAGGAGACCTGACTCACCGCAGATCCTGCCTGCGTTGTCACGCACTGACCCCTGCGATGCGTTCCCGCTGCTGAGAGGCCTCGTAATTCATTGAGGTCTCCGCACTCTGGCCTCTGAGGCGTCTTCTCAGCTCTTGTGCTGCTGTGCAGGCTGGTGTTGAAGAGGGGCCTCCCTTCCACGTGTCGGTCTGCTGTCTGCTAACATGGCGTTCTCGCCGTGACGTGGCGCTCGCGCTCCGTGGCCAGCCATGGCTGGGTGTTCTCTTTCTGCGGCCGGCTCCCGGGGCTGATGGTGTTGGGAGCGCTTTAGAGTTCATGCTCTTTAATGTTAAGTCGTTACGGCAAAGTCAGTTCGGAAGTTCACGACATGCACACATTCAAGAGAAGCTCTCCTTTATTGTTTGGCTGACATGAACCAATTGTTTGACTTGGGATAGACACGAAGCTTTCATCGTTGATTGTATTTCTTGACTGTAATTGCATGCACTAAAAATAATGCCTGTAGCTGCTGAGAATAAAACTGTTTTCTTAACATAATCTTTCCGCTTTGTAGTGCGATAGAAATACTTGTAATTCTTATATAAACCAGCTTTAGTAGTCGAGTCCAGTACCTCGTGCATATTAGTGTGAATTCTGTGGTCAGTCAGCTTCAACCTGTTCTCATTTATTTAAAGCAAGACATATGTATTTAAGTGTTTTTTTAAAATTCTTTTCCTAAGTACTACAGAATATTTTATGACATTGCTAGTGTTTTCCATTTCCTGAGTAGCTCCAAGGAGTCGAGCGTATCAGGATGTGGTGCTTGCCAGCCTGTTTGGTTTTCAGAGGATCGCTTGTGTTTGCCTGGCTTTGATTGCTCTGTTTACATTTCCAGTGTGAAGTGCCCGAGGGCGGACTGGTTCCCAAGTCGCTGTATAGGACTGCGGAGGAGCTGGAAAACGAAGACCTCAAGCTCTGGACAGAAACCATCTACCAGTCTGCGAGCGTCTTCAAGGGAGCCCCCCACGAGGTGCGCCTCTGCGACGCGCCCTCCTCCGGCAGATTCTTCAGCGGCTCTTCCCAAGAGGACTGAGTTGGAAGAATCCTGCTTTTTCTGGTCTTTGTCTTTAGGTTTTGTGGACACGTGTTCTTTTGTTGGTGGGCGTCAACACTGGAGAGCAGGCGCGGCTCAGAGAGTGCAGGGAAGGGAGCTGGGGTCTCCGGCCTCCGTTTGACTAGATACTCTTCACACAGGGATGGATAGCAGGTCTTTCCTTGTAGGGAGATTTTTGAGTCTTAAATTTAGTTTATTTAATTGTGTATAGAACCAATTTCATTTTCTGTTTTTTCTTGACTGGGTTTTGGTTATTTATATTTTTTAAGGAATTAGCCCATTTTTGTGAGTATAATGGAGTGAGGAAAAACTAGCACATCTCTATTTTCCCTTCCTGCTGTCACATTGTGGTGCAGAAGCAAGAGTATTCCTGTATTTCTATATACACTGTGACATGGTGAGTGACCTGAGGTGTGAGGCAGTCGCCCTTCCCTGAGTCCCAGCGCGGGGTCTGTGGCTCGGAGCCGTTGGAGAGGATGGCGGCACTTGGTACAGTGTGGGCGTTCAGTGGGAGTGGTCTGCTGGCCCGGGCTGGTGCTGGTGGCCAGGAGCTGACCCCTTGCTGCCTGCTGCCACGGCAGCTGCCCGGCTGGGCCACCAGCCACTTGTTCTTGATGGCATGTCTCCGTACAGCCAGCCTGTCACTTGTGGGGCAAGTGGACACTGTTGCTGTTGTTTGAACAAGTGAGACAGATTTGATGTGCCTCATTCATAGATTGTGTAGGGAGAATCTCCAGTTTTCGTGACTATTTGTAGAGGATTACTTGTATTAATTTCTTATTTGGAGAGCAGGTTCGAGGAGGCGGAGTTCTGGTTTGTCTTTTCTTAGGTAACTGTTGCTCTTTTCCGTGGTAGAGAACTTGTGGCATAAAATGTTCCTTGAGAGTCGGAGGGTGTCTGTGAAAATGCACAGCCAGGTTTCCTACATCCAAACTCTACAAACCGCAGTTCTGCTTTGGAGTTAAGTAAAGCACGAATCGCGGAGAGTGATACCCCTGAAACGAAGGCTGAGTTAAATGTCCCTGTTGTGAATGCAGAAAAAGAGGATGCCTGTCACAGAGGGGGCCTGGCGGCTCAGGAGGGCTCCACCCCTGGGGAGCCACTTTGCTGAAGGAGAGTGGGCCGTGTCGTCCGTGCCACCGCCATTCTCAGACGTGACTCGCGCTGTGTGGGACCTACTCTTTGAGGGGGTCCCGCGCTGTCTCAGCGGTTGGAGGGCAGCGGTGGGGTGGGGAAGGGCCCGCGTGGCACGCAGCACCTGCTGAAGAGACGGCAGGTGTGTGCAGGGCTCGCCGGGCGTGCTGGGCGGAAGGCCGGGCGCACACAGGCCCTGGCCGGTGCTGAAGCTGTTCAGTGACTGCATGGCTCTTTGCAGCTGGTTTTGATTCTCACATCCCTCCACAGTAATCTTCTGAAGCTGTAACTCTGCTCGTTCCCTTCTGGGAATCTTCACACGGGCACCATTTAACGTTCAGCTTTTAGACTGGCACTCAACACCTGAGGCCCGCCCCACCATACCACATGGCTCTTCTCTGTCCACCCAGCCCCACTGCCACTGTCCCTTACGTGAGCCTCTGCAGAGGCCGGCCTCGGTCCCGTCCCCTGCCCCTGCCCGGGACACCTCCTCCCGGCCCTCCGTGTGCTCTGTGTTTAGCTTCCACCTTTTCTGGGACCTTCCCTGTGCTCGCCAGTGCAGAGAAACCCACGGAGCCACTTGCGGGCTGCTGTGTGTTGTTTCTGTTTGGTATTACTAGGACACGTTTTCCAGCCGGGACTTGGTGTTTTAGCGTGCTGGCTAGAGATTGTGTAATGGGAAATTGGGGGCTGAGGTGTAGCTGATAGCTAACGGAGAGCATGGCACGGGGCCTGGAGCTGGAGCCACTGGTTGAAAGGAGGAATAGTCAGTGGGAAAGCTGGTGGTTGGATTATGAATCTGGGTGATTCTCCCCCGCGCCACGCAGCGGGGCTGAGAAGCTCCTGGAGGGGACGCCGCTGCCTCAGTGTCAGCACGGGGCCTCACGCCTACCTCGCTTAGTTGATGCCATCTCTTTTTCCAGATTCTCATTCAGATTGTGGATGCCTCTTCTGTGATCACTTGGGATTTTGATGTGTGCAAAGGGGACATTGTCTTTAACATCTACCACTCCAAGAGGTCACCACAGCCGCCCAAAAAGGACTCCTTGGGGGCGCACAGCATCACTTCCCCAGGAGGGAACAACGTGCAGCTGATAGACAGAGCCTGGCAGCTGGGCCGCGACTACAGCATGGTGGAGTCACCTCTGATTTGCAAAGAGGGAGAAAGCGTGCAGGTAAAAAATCTCTGATTCTCTACCGCTTGGTTATTTTGTCTGGAGAAGAAAGAGCCTTTGCTTTATTCCCATCCTGGGTAGCTGGTGCCATTTGTCTCTGGAGGGTGGTAGGTGTTACAGTCAGAATGTCTCAGGAACCCAGGTGAGTCTTAGAAGAAAAGGAACTCAAACCTGCACAGTGGTTCTGGACAGAATCCATGACTTGTGTCTAAAGTGCATGGGTCTCCTTGAGAAGCATTTTCACAGAAGCCACACGGACAGGAAGGAAGAGGCCTTCTGTGCACACACAGCTGGGGTTCAGGAGACTTCCGCGAGGACGGCCTTTGACTGTGTTACGTTTCTCCTTCAAAGGAAAATCACCCCAAATAGAAGTGAGAGAAGCAAGTACGTAGGGAACTGTTCACTGTCATTACTGAGCACTCCGGTTTATTTTAAAGTGCTCTGTCACTTCGGTTTGTAACTTTTGCCCGGTTACTTTGAGTGCTTGTGGTCTGTCGGTGCTCCTCGCCTTCCTAATAGATACGTGATTGTGCCGCCTTCACAGTTTTCAGGGCTAAGTCTCTCAGTGTTCCAGTGGTCTTAGAACCACAGTGAGAGAGGATTTTATTCAGTTTTAAAAATAAGGAACATTTTAAGCTGTATCACAGTCTTTAATTCCAGAATTAATGGAGAAAGCAATTTTCACAGATTGACATTCTACTGTAGATTGACATTCTTTTAACACAGAATGTGTCAGTGAGGTCATTGCAAGTGTGTCACCGAGAGCATTGCCTGGTCCGGGTGACCTTTGTTGACGCCCCCGAGACCGATCGAAGGGCCCGCAAGCACTCCCATCCTGCCAGGCCTCTGCTTCCAGCGTGTTCCTCCTCCCACGAGGCTGTGGGTCCCTGCCACAGACAGATGTGGAGTGGTACTCTCCGTGGCCTTCCCAGCACCTAGCAGAGGCCTCGCCGCAGGGCTGGCACTCAGCGAAGGCAGCATGGGACCGGCCCTGACAGTGAACCAGCGTAGCACGCCTTCCACCTGTCAAGATGGTCGGTGATGACTGCTGAAGCTGAGTGGACTCGCGACGGCTCCCTCGGCGCTGTCAGACCCACTGTAGGATAGGACTTGGAAGGAAGTCCTCTTAGCTGGCGCTGTCTGACTTGTTCCAGGGCTCCCATGTGACACGGTGGCCCGGCTTCTACATCCTGCAGTGGAAATTCCACAGCATGCCAGCGTGCGCTGCCACCAGCCTGCCCCGGGTGGACGACGTGCTGGCCTCCCTGCAGGTCTCTTCCCACAAGTGCAAAGTGATGTACTACACCGAGGTGATCGGGTCTGAGGATTTCAGGTACGGGCTCCTCTTCCAGGCGGGACTGCCGCGAGTCTGGCCTGGTCAGAGGGAGGCTCAGCATGTGCAGCGGGGCTTGGGTACGGGTGGGGTCACCTTTGGACCGTTTACTGTTGCCTGTTCGTGATGTCATCTGGGTGCGAGGGCATGGGGAGCCATGGCTCTGGAGGACCCTGCCTGACCGGCTTGCTTTGTGAGTGTGAGGGAGCAGAGTGTGGGGAGCAGAGAGCAGGATTGGCCAGGAAGTCCGGTAGGCAGTGTGGGAAGTGGAGTGGCCGGCCTGCGGTGGGGTCCTCACGCCTCGTCCCCTCCCTGTGCTGTTTGCAGAGGTTCTATGAGCAGCCTGGAGTCCAGCCACAGCGGGTTCTCCCAGCTGAGCGCCGCCACCACCTCCTCCAGCCAGTCCCACTCCAGCTCCATGATTTCCAGGTAGTGCCGCGATGCCCGTGCCCAGTGCGCCGCGGGCGTAGCCACGCCTCCTCGGACAGCCCGCTGCGCTCCGCCCACTGCCCGGCTGCCCAGCGGCTTCATTGTGCAGACTCCTGTCACCCTCTAGGTAGCAAATAGCTCTCCAGATGGTAAATGTAGTCATTGATCCCAAAACTATCTCGACAGGCAGTTTTAACTCCAACTGTAACTCAGTAGCCATAGATTTTGTATACAGTTTACAGTGTGCACAAAATCGAACCAGAGCACAAGGGCTCTCTTGAAAGAAAAATAGTTTATGTACCAATTAAGAAGTTGACTTTATCTCAAATGTTGATGCAAAAAATGTTTCCAACAACCTCCACACTGTCCATTAGTGGATGAATTCCTACACCATCCTTCAGAGATGACCCCAGCTTCCTACGTGGAGCAGAAGCTGCCAACTTGTTCCCGAAACTGCCTCGCAGTCCTCACCTTCTCCCTGCCGTCAGTCGACGCGCTCCGCGGATTCAGTGACAGCCGCTAGGTACCTTTTCCTCTGAGCACGACGCCGCTTAAATTGCAAGGACTCAGAGGCAGCCGGTGGGAGCACCCAGCCTGGCTCCCGGTGGCCAGATGGATCCACTGTTCTAAAGTGGGTGCTGGCGGGTCAAGGGCTCTCCGTGACTCCAGGAGAAACACCGCCATCATTAAACATGCTTTTCTCTTTCCTCCTTTTCACATCTTTTTGACACTTTCAGAGCAGGATTTTTCTGTATGTGAACTTGGCAGAGGCGTTCTTTCCCTATCCTTCCAGTGTGTTGCTCTTCCTACCTGCAAGATGTTAGTCCTGAACTCCTTCTGCATTTCTGTCCCAAGTGCTCCTCATAGCTTAATAGCGTCAGAGCCCAGGCGGTCCTTCTAGTCACTAGAAGGGTATTTTAAAGACAGAATAAGTCACATTTGCCATCTTGAAACTATCCAGTGTTCATTTTAGCTAACTGGCGTTCTCACCGTGTGGCCACTTCAGGATAACACTGGCCCGTAGGAGCCCGGCTTCTTTGTGGGCTCGTGGGGAGGGGGGGTGTGTATGTGTTTGGGATGGGGGTGTGGCAGTGCGGTGCTGGGGCGGGTGGGGCAAGTAGAAATAGTTCATATTACAGAGGATTCTTCATAGAAGCAGATCAGAGTACGAGATTGGTCTACCTTTTACATTTTCTTTTTGATTCCCAATTACAAAGCGTGGTCTATCTTGTATGGGCCCTCGTATTTTCAGCTTTTTATGGGAAAAGCAGGTTATTTGCGAATCTGTCTGAATGTTGCATTGGGTTTGTCTCCATGATAAGGACATGATGTGTGGTGTTGTGTGTGGCAGAGTCTGTGCTTTTAAAGACACGTGCCAAAACCCACATGGCCATTATCTGTGTGCGGCAGGCACGTAAACCTTGGGTAGCGTTGCTCTCAGTCTGTTCTGAAGATGGGTGGCCGTGTGAGTGGACAGGTGTGCAGGATGTGTGAGCCCCATGGGGGAGGCGTTGGGGCTCGGCAGAAACGGAGCAGCCTCCTTGCCCAGCCAGTGGAGCTCCGGCTGCCTCTGCCCTGGAGCCCCTCCTGGGCTGCCTCCACGATTGCCAGCCTTCTCCGAGCAAGCTGTGTGTTTCCTTTGAAAAGACAAGCCCATCCTTGGCGCCTGAAGCCTGTTTCCCGCAAGTACAGTAGGGTTGGTCAGTGCGTCTGTGCTGCTTCCAGTCAGTGCTTCCTGTTTCCAGACTGTAAGGACCTGAGACGGTCCCTTCTTTCTTTCTCTCTTTCTTTCTCTGTGTCTCAGATGGCGATTTTGCTGACAGCTGCCAGGAAAGCGCTTCACTCGACAGCCCACACCAGCCCAGGGATGTTGTAGAGCCCTTTGACTTGCAGCCCCTCCCCTGCCCCGTCTGAAGAGCTGCTCTTTTTAAGTTGATCAGAAGTGGCACTGTTTTATCCCCAAGAACTGACTACATCCTCTAGAGCTCAAAGCACATGACTGCACAGACGCTCCCAGGGTTTCCCATGAGCCACAGCCCACCCGCCCCCTCTGGAGGGGCTGGGGCAGAGGCTCCGTGCGCCCTTGGCGTGTCTCTCTCCTCGGGGCCCTGCACTCTTTTTAAAATGCTGCTGTCTTTTCCTCTTTTTTCAGCACTAATGATTCTTTTGGTTTCTCCCTTTGTTACTAATGTCTTAATTCACTTTCCTCCCTAAATTCATTATTTGCATATCAAATTCTGTAAATGTTTTGTAAACATATTACCTCACTCTTGGTAATACAATACTGATAGTCTTTAAAAGATTTTTTTATTGTTAACAATAATAAATGTGAACTGTTTAAAGAAAAGAAAGTCTTTCTTATTGTGAAGCGGCAGTCTCCCTTGAAGAATGTGACATTCAGCCTTTAGGGACTGAAGAGAGGAGGGGCTCTGGAGCCCCGGCGCCGGTGTTCTCAAGTGGCAGGACCCTTCCCAGAGCAGACGTGGCAGCTGTTCGCTGCTGATGCAGAAGTAGAAGCATGCTGGCAGTTCTCTTGCCTCCAGAAGATGCACGTCATTTCTCTTGAACCCCGCAAGGTCAAACACGGCCTGTGGCGTGGTGCCCCGTGCAGTTTCTTTAGTGATGTGATGGCTCTTTAGTCAGCTGGCCGCAGGGAAATTGACATGGCCACCCCCTGTGGAAAACCGAATTGCACAGTTAAAAATGGTCAAAATGGCAACGTTTGTTATATGTACTCTACCACAATAAAAAAACCCCTGTGGACATGGTTTACAACGAATGATACGTTATCCCCATAAACCCCAGACAGAGGCATGAACCACCAGTAGTCACAAAGCCCACGCGTTAAACAGTGGCGATCTGCCGGCCATAGAGCAGGGCCACGTCAGAGCCCACAGGTGCCCAGGGGGGAGCACAGTGCCCAGTTTGAGCACAGCAGGTGGGCCAGGCCAGGGGTCACGCTGCTTCCAATAGCTGGAGAAGGCCAAGGCCACTGCTGGGAGCTGTGTAGGGTTGGTGCACCCAGCCCCTCTGAACCCCCACAACTGACCTGCCAGCGTTCCCTTCTAGGAAAGGACCCCTCACTGAGGAAAAACTGCTTGGAGTGGAATAAAAATTAAGCAGGACAGGGAGAGAAAGTGAAGAGAAGGCCAGGGCTGAAATGGGGAGGGCAGGAGCCAGGAAAGCTCTGGAAGCAATTGGACATACTTTTTAAATACTTCACACCAACAGCAGAAGAGGAAGCTCTGTAGAATTAGGAAAGTTTTCTTGAAGTCCACTCCTTTCTGAAAGTTTATGAAATACTTTTACATACAAATAAGCATCAGAAAAGTATCAAAGTCAAGTGCATGTAAAGCTGAGAATAAGGAGAACGACCTACAGACAATGAAGGCCAGCCAGAACAATGTGCCTGCAAACAAAACATAGCTTGTTTCTTAATGAATTAAAAGACATTAAGGACATGTGAGATGTGGAAGAAAAGCATAAATTAGGAAAACTCAGAAATGAGGTGACAGAACTCAAGAAAGAATGGGAAATGAATGAAAAAATCATTTTAGAAATTGACTAGATTAGAAGGAACCCAGTGAAAAATGCAGCAGGTACTGCTTTAAGAACTGAAAGGTACAAAAGAGGAAAATTCTGTAAACCAAAAAGGAAGAAAAAGATGCAGAGATTGAGAGAGAGTGACACGTATTGAAAAGAAGCAGAGAAGACCGAACGTAAGGGTGATACTCAGAGGGCGGGCACCTGAGAAGGACCAACACCAAGAAGTGTTTTAGTAAAAGTGACGGGTTTTAGAGAAAAGAATCCCTGAGGCATCTGGGGGGAAATCAGGCTTTTCAAAGGCTGAGCTTTATGCAGGGAGAAAATGGAATAATTAAGATTTTCATGGAAAGGAAGAGTGAGCCGAGGAATTTATATCCAGCAAAACTGACGCTCAGTTGTGAAGGTCGCGGACGAAGGTGTGCAGGTGTGGCCCGCCGGGGTGCTGCCAGCCCTCCCAGGAGCTCCGGGGGAGTGCACGGTGGCAGGCACAGGGCCACGCAAGCCGGAGACAAGTGTCGGCCGTAGAACTGAGGCCGGTGAAGTCGTAGAGGGGACGAGGGTGGTACCTGTTGGCTACGTGCTCTGACAATGTCCATGTCTGACAGCTTTTAAAATGGGAGGAGAATGGGGACAGTGTAGGCAAGAAATGCCGAGTTCTTAGTAATCATATTGGTGGCAGTATTAACATGGTTGTTCTGAGAGTCTCCGTCTGCAGCATATGTGTGTGTGTAGATGTAGGCGTGTGTATGTGTATTTGTACGTCTGTGTTTGTGTGTGTGTCTGCGTGATGCTGTGACCGTGCGAGTCCCAGCACCCCGCCTGTGGCCTTGAAAGGCCTCCCTCCCCGCAGCCTGTGCTTCTAGTTCACTGAGTCGTAGATTCCGCTTTCTGCTCTTTTGCATCTGTTTTGTTTTACAATGAGAAAGCTTGTTGTTGTTTTTGGGTTTTTGGTTTTAGTTAGGGTTTTAGATGGGTTAGTTTGCCTTAAAGGAGAGATCTTTGGGTCCCTGTGCCCGAATCCCCAGGCCCCCGGGACGGTGGGTCTGTGGCGCAGGCGCCGTGTCCCGGGATGCTCCCTGCAGTAGCTCTTTTGAGGTTGTGGCCGTGCCCAGGACAGCCAAGCAGTGACAGCAGCTGGCAGCGAGTGGCCGTGAGGCTCCTGCTGCCCTCGCAGCAACACCCCGAGCCGTGCGCTGCCTGCCGCCCATCGTTCCTCGTTCTTCAAATGGAAGCAGCTGGGCTGTTTCCCACTCTGACCTTGCCTTTGGGTTTAGGAACTGGGGAACAGTTTTGACAGCAGCAGAGAGGCAGTCGTGAGCCCTGTGCACCAGCCCCCACCACGCTGTCATAGTGAGGGACACGGAGGAGAGATGAGTCTGTGCCCACTGGCTCTGCATTGTTCCCAGTGAGGGCAGGAGGCCTGGCTGGAGGGACCCCAGCAGCTCCATTGGTAGAGCATTCCAGATTTCCACAGAGTTGAACTGTGAACACTTGTCTGTCCTCCCTTTTGCAGGGCCGGCCAGCACCCGTGGCCTGACAGTCCCTGGTGCCACGGCCAGAGTGAAACCCAAGCTCAGCCCCCAGGCGGAGCCCCTTTCTTTCCAGTCAGCCAAAGGGTGGGGGGGGGATGGTGGTCCCTGCTTCATCCGGGGAACTTCCTCCCCTGGCGCCACCTTGTGGCCACATCGGAGATGGGCATCCCCTGTCACCAGCTGGGGCGAGGATGATGTCCTTGCTCCCTTTGGCTCTGCCCTTGGAGTCAGGGCCAGGGGAGGAAATTTTCCAGCCCTCGTGTTTACTGAACTCTTACCTCAGAAGGGGTGTGATGGTTAATTTTAAGTGTCGATGTGACTGGGCCGTGCAGTGCCCAGGTATTTGGTCAAACATCGTTCTGGGTGTTTCTGTGAGGGTGTTTTTGGATGAGAATAACTCTTAAATGGGTAGACTGAGTAAAGCAGGTTGCCCTCCTTAGTGCGGGTGGGCCTCGTCCAGTCAGTTGAAGGCCTGACTAGAACAAAAGGCTGACCCTCCCCCAAGCATGAGAGGAGTCCTCTTGCCTAACGGCCTTTGAACTGGGATGTCGGCGTTTTTCTTGCTGTCAGGCTCTAACACTGTATCTTCCTGGGTCCCAAACCTGCTGGACTCGCACCATCAGCCCTCCTGCAAGTCTCCAGCTCGCTGACTGCAGGCCTGGCGGCTCGTCAGCCTCCGTGATCATGTGAGCCAGTTCCCTGCAGGAGGTCTCTCTCTGTGTACGTCCTGTTGACTCCGTTTGTCTGGAGACCCTGGCTAATACAGGAAGTGTGCTCCCACATCCTGGAACTGCAAAGCCTTTGACTTTTACCAAAAAAATGCTTACTCTTGAATCATATCTCTTTGGGCGGGGGGTGTGTGTGTTTTGGTTTGGGTTTTTTTCCGTCAACGGCCTTATCCTTCTGAATGTAGAGTAAAATTACGGACTGTTAAAGCTGGAGGAAAAGCTTGGAATGGTCTCGGTCCAGCTCTTCCAGCTCAAGGAAGGTAAAGCCCAGTGAGGTGAGGGGGCTGTTCGCGGAGCAGGCAGCTGAGTCCCCCTGCGTAGGGACGCTGGGCACGCCATGGCCTCCCTGAGCCCCGCTTCTCATCAGTCCCCAGTGGAGGACAAGTCTGAAGACCTACAGAGTCCTCCCCGTCCTCTGTCGCCGTCACTGATCGTGAAGTGGGAGGACGTGGGTCATCTTATCGGGGTCGTTAGCAAGTCATGACAAGTAAATGACCATTAGATCATGCCGTACACTTTCAAGTCCTTTGCAAATGTGAGGGGTTGGGTACAGTTTGGGGTGTGCCAAGGACTTGGGCCCCAGCCCTGGGCCCGTGCCTGTGAGAGAGGGTCCTCTAGGGAGAGGAGGTGCTGGGTGTCCACTGGGATCTGAGCTGCTAACGGAGAGATCAGAAAGAGCAACTTGGAGTTAAAACAAAGTTAGAAAGCTGTACAATGCACCTTCTTCCCTCTCCAGGAGAGGAAGTGAGATGACCATGGGGCCTGAAGTTAAAATGTTACCTGACTACCCCTCGGCTCGGGCACGCTTGGGGACAGACGGCTGGTTGGGACTGAGAGCCTCTCAGAGCCAGGGACTGTGGAGGGAAGTGGCCGGCTGAGGAGAGCTGCACCCAGGCCTCCCAGCACCTTCTCTGGCCCCACACACCCTCTGGGGCACTCAGCCAGCCGGAAGGCGCGTGGGGACACATCTCCACGGGCTCACGGTGCCCAGGGTCTGCTTCGTCCATGCTCTGCTCCTGTCAGCACCTAGATGGCGCCCGGCACTGGACCGACGCCCCACAATATCTGTGGAGCAAGAGGAGTGAGTTCTCGTAGGTTCTGGCCTCACATTCTGACCCCGTGGGCCTCGCACTTTTGCCTTCCTCCATTAAAAAATATTAATGAGTATGTTTTATGACTGGGTTGGTATAAAGACGGATATAAACCAGTCTGGATTCCTATATGTTCAGCATTAATATATTCATTTTTTTCTTCTTTTATTTTTTTTGAGGAAGATTAGCCCTGAGCTAACATCTGCCAATCCTCCTCTTTTTGCTGAGGAAGACTGGCTCTGAGCTCACATCCGTGCCTGTCTTCCTCTACTTTGTATGTGGGATGCCTACCACAGCATGGCATGCCAAGCGGTGCCGTGTCTGCACTTGGGATCCGAGCTGGCAAACCCCGGGCCACCGAAGCAGAACGTGCGCACTTAACTGCTGCACCACTGGGCCGGCCCCTTTTCTTATTTTAAAAGAAACTAAAATTAAAACATTTTCACGGAC